CCCCCGCCCCCCGGTACTGGGAATCGAACTCACGACCTTGTGCTTGCCAGGCAGGCGCTGGCCGCTGAGCTAAATCCCCAACCCCTAGCCAACACTTTGTGAGTACGTTCACTTTTGTTCTGTGCTTGTCCTACACAATCATATGTGTGACATCATGAGTTTGACTTGCCACTTAATGCTTGTCTTCTGTTTTGTTTTTTGTTTTTTGTTTTTTTTGTCTTTTTGAGACAGGGTCTCACTGTGCAGTTCAGGCTGGCCTTGAGCTCATTTTGTAGCCCAGGCTGGTCTCGAATTTGCAGCGATCCTCCTGCCTCAGCCTCCCGAGTGCTGGGATTACAGGCATGCGCCACCACGTCCGGCAATGCTTGTCTTCTACATATGGATTAAAAGAAATCTAGAAGGCCAGGTGTGGTGGCGCATGCCTCTAATCCCAGCACTCTGGAGGCTGAGGCAGGAGGATTGCTGAGGGTTCGAGGCTAGCCTGAACTACATAGAGAGACTCTGTCTCAAGAAAAAAGAAAATCTAGAACCATGAAAACAGGGAACATTCACGTGTCATGTTCCACCTGCACTCATCACTCACGGCCCAGGGATAAACCAATCCCTGACCTGAAAATGGGCAAATATATCCTAGAAAGAATGTGTATGTTTAGAGGAAGCGTGCAGATTTGTATCCTTGTTTTGTTTTCAGGTAGGAGCTCGCTATGCAGGTCAGGCTGGCCTCGAATGGTTGGTGACCCGCCCGCCTCGGCCTCCCGAGTGCTGGGATTACAGGTGTGCGCCAGCACATCCGGCTGAGGAAGCCGTTTTTAAGCACTGGGACAGAGAGCTGGGAGCTCTGGAAAGTGGCAGCAAGATGCACTGACATGGCGCACTGCTCCCCTGGGACTGGGCAGCAGCCGCCTCCCCCTCCTGCCAGACACGTGCGGCACCGGGCAGATGCCATGGGGGGGGGAGGAGAGAATGCAGAAAGCAACTCATTCTCAGTATCTCCGACAGGGCGCGGGTGCTTCCTCAAACTCTGCAGAGAGATTTCTGGCTTCAGAAGAAATTACAAAGTGGAAGGTGGGCAACTGAATGCCCCCCTTTTTTATTGGTTCTGGGGATCAAACACGGGGCCTGGCACATATTAGGCAAGCCCTGAGCTGCTGGGCTACACCTCAGGCTCTCAGCTTTTTTAGTAATTTTTTTTTGAGACTGAGTCTCACTATGTAGTCCAGGCTGGCCTTGAAACTTGTGGCGATCCTCCTGCCTCAGCATCTCAAGTGCTAGGATTACGGGCGTGCACCACCATTCCTGGCCCCTCAACTTTTACAATGTCCAAAAGGTTAACTACCACTTTAGTAGGGATGGGGAGTGTAGCTCAGTGGTAGAACACATGCTTAGTATGTAGCAGGTCCTGAGTTCCATCCCTGCACTGGAAAAAAAATCTACTGTAGCTAAACTGTAAAGAAATACAATAAATCAGGAGAAAGAAACAGAGCCAATTTTTTTATTTTTTTAAGGGCTGGGGCTTGAACATAGGTCCTTCTCGCTGAACTATATCCCCAGTCACTTTCTTTAATTTTTTTTTTGAGACAGGGTCTCGCTATGCAGTTCAGGCTGGCCTTGAGCTCACTCTGTAGCCCAGGCTGGTCTTGAGCTTGCAATGATCCTCCTGCCTCAGCCTTCCTGAGTGCTGGGGTTACAGGCATGAGCTACCATACCCAGCAAGGGCCGAAAGTTTTTATGGGCCATAATTTTTTGATATGAAAATCCTATAAAAATTATCAAGAAAAATACCAAACCCCAGCAACAAAGTGACAAGTTATTATCACTCACACGGAGCTACACATTACTCTTACTAACAAAATAATTCTAATTTAAGGGCTGGGTGTAGCTCAGTGGCACTTGCCAAGCATGCTCAAGGCCCTGGCTTTAATCTCTAGTTTTCTGAAGGAAAGAAAAAAAAAAAGAACTATAAATTAAAAATAGAACTCCATGTTCCACCTCCCATACTGGCAGTGGTTCTTTTGTTTGTACGGTTTTGCTCTTAATTAGTCTGGAGAGGGAGAAGTGGTAAACCCACAGTTAAAACTGAAATGGTTTTGGGAAGGGCTGTTGGCAGCGTGTGTCAAAACCTCATGGACCCTGACCAACATCCCACTCAAGTGGAAATCGGTCCTGAGAAAAGAATCAGGTAAAGAAAAGTTTCATACACATGACATTTCCCGTGTATTATAATATTACAGAATGAGAAACAACCTGCAAGTCTAACAAAGGGGAGAATTATGACCTGGTGATATAATGGAACAATATGTGCTTATTAATGACATGATATTAAGTACAGATGTCATGTTCCCAAAAATAAGGTCAGTGAAATAG